AATACATTTATTTCCCCTGTATCAATGGGAATCAGTGAACCTAGAAACTTACTCTAGAAGTGGGGATTAGGTCCTTACTTCAGCCTCGGGGAACCCCAGAGCCAGCCTAGTGACATTCCTACCACAGAATTTTTCCTTTTTCTCTACTTCTACTTAATTTACTGTAAAATTTGGTGCATAACACAGGGTTCAAGAAGTCTCATGAAGTTAACTACTCTCAGTGGTAGAAACTTAAAAAATAAAATCATTGCAAGTTCGTCTTCTCTTGTCCATGTTTATTTAACTTACAGGAAGGTAGCTACAGAGTATTGGTAGCTCAAATCTGACCTATTAATTCACCACTGATGCTAGTAAAGGTCTTCTTTAGAATTCTCAACAAGGTATCAAATAAGCAAAGAAAGAAAAGTCTGAGCACTGAGCATTCAGTTTCTAAAATACAGTGCATTTCTTAACATATTTTGAAATTATTTCCTATATTTTAAATACTTTTTTGAAAAAGCAAAACTTGTATCGTCCTGGTAGACATGCCATGGTGTGACAAAGAAACATCAATACATAATGAGTATTTCTTTAAAATAAAGATATTCTGACCCGTCAGAATTCAGACAAAAATTCAAATACCTTAATATTATGTCTGTTGTTATTTCTCCCCAAATTACTTAAATCAGTTATTTAGCTACAAATGGTTTGCAAATCAGAGTCAAGTGTTTTAGATCTCAGAGCAAAATGTTGTATAAAAAATAACAACTGGTATTAGATAATCTAAAATGGGCTAGTAACTGTTACAAAGTTTCAACATTTAATCATTTAGTATCTATAAAAATCACATATTTAAGCTCAATCTCCAGCACACAAAAAATCACATATTTAAATCTCATGGGTGCAGTTATTTATTATTAAGGTAGTTACTATCACCATTTCAATACTGATTTTTTAAAGATGAATGCATGTGAATTTGGGCCTGTGTACCTAAAAATGTAGTTTTATTAATAGTTCAAAGCTACTAACTTGGAGTTACATAGCTTAGTTTATACTTTAATCATAACAATAAAAACTAGCACCCTTCCTTTGTCATTACAACTTGGATTTTTCTATGGCAAGCACACTATCATGTGGAAAATCAAGTCCTCCTTGAAAAAGCAAAGGAATAAACCCCACTCAGAATGTTACTCACTGTAAATCACCTCTAGTGCAAAGTCCAGTCTCATAACGCCCCAGGCTTATTATGACTTAATTTGTAAATGTTGCATCGTATGCTATAAGCTTGAAGAAATACTCACTGACCCTATGTTCACAGGTGGAACTTTTAACTGAATCATAGCTTAGTTTCAGTTAAACTACGGAGGTCATGAAATAATTTAGGCAGTAATTATAAGGCTTCTAACAGGAACATTTACATAATTTTATCTCATTTTATACAAATTTGCTATACTCATTGGAATAGCCATTAGAAAAAATACGTGAAACTTGAACTTAGAAAGTATATAACATTTGGGTGTCTTTGATGTTGAAAGCATGAGGTTGAAATTATTGGCAAAAACTGGGTTTTAGAAAAACTGTAGTTATCTACAGATTTCAATTATACATACTCCCATTTCTCCATTACCCTCTAGGAAGTTGAAAATTGGACATATTAACGTGGTATATTATCTTCAGTCCAGAAGGTTTTTCAGACAAGTTTGAGCTTATCTATTACTTGTGAATTAAAAAAAGTAGAATTTAAGCATTGAATTCTGGCTTTAATCCTGCCATCTGTCTCGCTCCTCTCCTAAACTTCCCCGACTGCTTGTTTCTAATTTTCCAAAATCTTCTTGAAAAGAACTGAAAACCCACTAACACCTGCTCTGTCTTCCACCAAAGAAAAAGTAGAAGCAAAATACAAAATTTAATTAAAAAACTCATAACCACTTCTGGTTTATTAAATTCTCCCCCTCATGTGTTTGTATTTTATTTCAAAGTTTATGAAACCCTGTGTTTTGTATGTTCAGATTCAAGTGGCTTCTTGAAATCTCTCTTTTTTTGGCAGTCATGAAAAACATTATTTTTGGTCTGCATGTATAAATTAGAAAAAAGGATAGTCAATAGACTAATAAGTGACAAGTATGCTTCTATATAATATAATAAAGATAGTATTATATGGATATTAAGGAACATTTTGGAGAATCTGTGAAATTAACATTTTACTTGATACCTAGTAGGCTTCATTTGTCCTCACCTGCCTCTGTCTTCACTCTGTATTCATTGTGCCTTCCCTTAAGCATCAGAATATAAGCCTTAAGTGTGTGCTTTTAAATTCTAAAAGCAGAAAATGTCAGCTGAAATAGTAAGCCTGACTTCCCTTGCTTTTGTGGTACATCAGGTGGTTCAGCATCAGTGGAATGATAAACAGTTAAATCAGCACATTTACACAAGTCTGGGAACATTGGTGACTTGGCAGAGTTAAATAAAACGCTAGGAATCTGCCTCTGGGCTCTTTTAAACAAAACTTTAAGAAATGCAATCTAAGCCAGACGGGAGAGAGATGGTGTTTACTCTGTCACAAACATTAAGTAGAATGTCACTTTGAATATACTTGCAAGGTTAATTCAATAACCAAGACGTATTCTTAGGAAAGCTACACTCCTTAGTGTTTGGGATTCAGGTTTGGGTTGGGGATGTAGCTAATGGTAGAGAGCCCACCTCCTTTGAACAACACCCTGAGGCCAGTTTCCAGTACCACACTCACACACATATACACGAAGAATGAAATAAAATGTCTAAACTAATATACAAACTAGTGTTGGATTAATGTCTTCAATTCTTCAAAAAATTAACTGAATATTCTGAATTTGTAAGAAACTGTGCCAGGGCTGGGCATTTTGCTCAGTGGCATAAATGCCTCCCTAGTGCAAGGTCTTGAGTTCAATCCCCGGTATCCAAAAAATATAAAAGAAACTTGTGCTAAGTCCTGAAGATACAGAATGTACTTTGTCTAAACCCCAGAGGCCTCAAAGATCCACAAACAATATCAGTATCCCTGTCTCAACCCTCAGTGATTCTGAGTCACAGTGTCTTGGGTGGAACTAGGTATCTGTAAATTTTCCAATGTTCTTCACATGATTAAATATTCATCCAAATTTAAGACCTTTAGGAGGCCCTGGGGTCATATATTCCCTTAGAGAAACACAAAGGTAGAGTAACAGTGAAGTAATAGGTCATACAATGTAGTGGCATTGCAAGTATGCCCAGTTTTGCTGGGGGTGTGGTGTCACAGAGACAGACCAAAAACAAGGAAGGTTTCACCACAGCAGTGATAAAAACATAGCTGAGAATTCTAAAGTGGCACAGTTGCATGCAAATGCTCCAACATGTGTCCCAGAGCAGGGATTCTTGAGGAGCCTTGAACTGTCTCCAGATATAGGTGCTTTTAAACGTATCAGCAACAAGAAGACTAAGAAAGGTTCAGAGATGATAAAACAATCACAAAACTTCTAAGGTTCAGGGTCTGAATTTGGGCCTCTTCCCTCTAACGTAGCATAATTACCTGGGAAAAGTATAGATTTAAGTATAGATTTTTAAATTTTAATGTTTGATATTTACTTAATTTATTACTTAACAGTTTAATTTTAATATTTTCATCCAGAAGAGAGGTGGGAAGAAGCATTGCCTGTTGGATAGCTGAAGAGACTGAGATGTTTGAGATTTTATCACTTGTTTGTCCAGTTTTTAATAATGTGACCGTACTTTTTAAAACAGGTGAGTATTTTACTTTTTTTTCCCCAAATAGATGCTTTAGAAACTCCAGATATGGCAATGGCTGACAGAAAAGCAGTTTCTCCTTTGAACTGAATCTAGTCTGAGCCCTAAGAAGGTTCAGTTTGTGAGTCAGTGGTGGTCACGTGGCTTATCTCCAAAAATTAGGGTCCCTTCGGACTCTTAGCCTCCTGTAGCTGTGCATTTTAAGTATGTAGGATTTATGACCTAAGCCATAAGCAAAAAGCTCAGGCAGGAATGTCCTAATGAATCATTTTGACCCAAATGTTCTACTGGTTGTGCTAAAGCAGCCCAGGTTCAGTTCTTAAAAATACCCTTGATAATTACAAAGTGTGGGATCTACACTGTATCTTAGCTGGATACCTTCTCCTCTGTGCGCTGCAAGCCAGTCGTATGAGACCTAATAGAGAAAATTTTAATAACAAATCTTACCAAATAGAAATTATACTTTTACCCAATCACAGGTAATTATATGTTGCAAAGTTGCACATTTAAATAAACATTCTCATCCTAAGATCACATCACTCAGATGTGTGAATAGGATATATTTAGTTTTTAACTGTTTTCACTCACAGTGCTCTCTCTGCCTGAACATTGATCTCTCTTCTCCCCTGATTCCATTTCTTGTAACTTCCAATAGAACCCGTGCCCGCTCACATCTCTCCATTATTCCTTATGTTCTTTTTGCCTCCTTTGGCATATTTACCTCCCAAACATGTGCACTATCCAGGCACTGTAGTCCTTGCTAAACACTTTATAGAATGAATAACAAATGTGTAGAATGGAGACCTCCCAGCAGAATTTTGGCTGTTAACAGCTGTTTCCTGTCAGCACTGCTAACCCCAGCTGAAGTCAACCCTCTCACCAGTCAGAGAGGCACGGAAGACACACAGCACCCTGTTCCTGGAGGCCAGAAGCCATGCTGCTTTTGGCTAGCTGTCTACCTCCTCTGATTTGGTTGCCTCTGTTGTAAAACTAGGACTAATAAGGGCTAATCTATCCAGAAACAGGAAAGTAGTCCACATGTTTTTGTAAGATCTCCAAACTATGGAAGATGTTTGGAGGAAATCTTTCTTATTTTTATAGAAACTACACAACTAGAGCAAAAAATAGAATAACAGAATAGATAATGGATTGATCGTGATTATCTTATTTAAATAAATCAGTTATGTTGCATTACTAAATCTCTCTTTTGTAGTTATTAATGCTATTTACTTAGGAAGAACCTCCAAATTTTCATTTCTTACCTTTTGACTTCCGGTCATGGTATGACCTGCCTCGGTAATGAGCGGTGTCCAAATACAGATTCTCGAGATCTTCCTGCCACGATTCTGGATTGAAGTGCTTGAGCAGATCTTCCACAGTGTCAAATTCTGCAACTGTTTTGTCCAGCGCATCGGCAGCGAGAGCAGAATTCGTCACCGATGGAGAGCGAAAGGAGACGCCCTAAGAGGGACACACAGCTCAGTGTACTCAGAAAAAGTCATTGCTGTAAAACACAGTAGTCATATAGCTATATGGATGGAACGCAGGCCAGCTTCTGCTTTATGCAGCATATATTTAAACAGCATGGAAACACAAGCTGCCATTGACCTGTCATATTCATAGTAAGAATGATTAATTGGTAAGAGATAGTCATTCATGGTTTTGGAATCCAAAAAAAAGTAGATCATAAAACTCTCAGTTTATCTAAATTATAATAATTTACAAAGAGATAGGCTGGGTGGAAATATTAAAACCAACTCACTTGATTTCTTGCCTCAAGGTCCCAAATCATCCACATTTCAACTAATAAAAGTAATAATTAAAATTCTGAATCCTCCCAATAAAGTTTTAATAATTTATACCATCTTCCCACACCTACCCTCCAAACTCTCCCTAACAGGTCATCTAGTATTGCAGATATTGTATGAGCAGTGGTTGAACTCAACTCTGGAGACATTTTGATAAAATTTGACACTTTAACCAACCTATTTACTGTCATCAAGAGTAACTAGCCATGAAACAGGCTCTCTTGACTTCAGAGTACAAAATTCACATGGGAACCATGTTTAAAAAATGTCCCAATTGCCATTAAAATAAGTACTCTTTAAAGAAGGCACATGTCATCACCGGGAGACTGCAAAAGATTATGCATTTTGCCATAGAAATAAAACATCCCCACATAAGGTTTCCAAGCACTTACCTCACTAACCTTTGTACAATCTAGAGGTAAATGAGCCATGATTTAAACATCTCTGTAAAAATTCATGACCCATTAACAAGGAAATAGAGAGCACACAGCCTCCAATGATTTCTAAATGTCTTTAAAGAAACTGCCAAACAAATAAGATCCCCCAAAGGCGAATAACTCGTATCACTAAGGGAAAATGGAAATTAATGCAAACTTGATTTTCTAAAACTTAACTGCAGCATCCTATCAAGAAATAAAATGTAGTCTCAGACATAAAAAGTCAAAAATTATCACTTTCAGGCCGTGTTTTCTCTCTTTAACCAATCAAGGTTCAAAGTCAGTTCAGTAAGTGATTACATGGTCACTTGTTCTCAGAGGAATGCTCTCTCTTTAGGAAAATGAAGGCATGTGATGTATGATTTCAGTAACTCAAGAGCAATTTTCAAATACACAGGGAAAGGAAGTAAGGGAAAGACACAAGTTGGAGGGTAAGACTGGAGGCATGAGATAGACGAGGAATATTCTGAGCCAAAAAGTCTTTTTCATTTAGAGAAACTACACATTTAATGTTTAGTCAGCTCTGACAAAATAAGTAGACATCTTCATCCCGGACCAACCTTCATCTGCCATGTTACTTTCAGACCCTAAGTATGAGACTATTCTATGCCTGTACAGGTGGACCCAGGTAATCATTCACCTAGTTACATGATACTCATCCTACATTACTGAAGAGTATAGGGATTTGTTAATAGTTAAAGCCATAATAATGACACCCCCAACCATCATCTTGTTGATAGGACACGGTTGTCATCTGTATATATCAACACTTTCTTAATAGTGTGTGTATATTTGTGCGTGGGTGATATGAAATGAATCCTAAATGATGTACATCATCTCCTTCACATTTCTCTTGACATCAAATGCTAGATAATACTGATAACTCAGTACTGTAAATTCAAGTTCCTATTCAACTTGTATGTCTTACCTGGCTCATATTCAACAGACAATTTATAATTAACCTTGTATCACAATAATGCACATCTAAGATCTAAAATAATGAAATGAGCTTAAACAAATTTAGGAGTATGACAGCATGGTACAGCTTTGGAATAAAACTCTTCCCATTTTACTGAGATAAAAGCAGGAAGATTAATCAAGCCATTCTCACATGGGTGAAAGCTTCTTGCAATAGGTCTAGAGAAAGTGTTGCAAGGAATTTCCTGGGTGGCCCTAAACAGTGCCTGGAATGGAGAGTGTAGCCAAACATTTCTAAGTAAAAGCTCTGGAGGGGCACTCAGGCCCAGAGATGGAGGGAAAAGTCTATTATTTTCTGATATCAAGCTGAAGAAAAATCCAAACCATAGGTAAAATAAGCGATTGTCTTTATGTATGGGCTTTAATGCTTGCAAGTTTTGATTCTGAGTGTTTGATAGATATAATGATAATAGTGAAGAAAACTCTCTCTGAGTGATTAGGTATAATCATCCTAATAATCCCCTGAGAATACTCATTTCTGAAGTCAATTTTTTTAAATCTATTTTTGAGGGAAAGATGAGCTGCACTACAAATTTGATCTCGCTTATATTTTGCTATATATTTATAGAAATCAACTCTAATGTTAACTGAAGTACTTTGATAATAATTTATAATAGTTTATACTATAAACTGCATTCACCAAAAACAAAGTATGCTTGCAAAGAAGTAAATGGTATGTAAGATGATCCATGATCCTATTCCAGAAGGTTTGTAGAGAGTAGAATGTTGAGCAAAGCAACTGTCCTGTTCTTCAAAGAGGGCTAACCAATGCCTCTTCTCAGAATTCAAACCAGAAATCTTGTCTCTGGTGGGTATGGTCCTGAGGCTGAACTCCCTCAGCTACTCCAAACAGATATGAGAGGCTCTCTGTTTGAAAGGACCCGTGCAACTGTGTGGAACTTAAATGTCCCTTCAAGGCTCAAATGTAAAGACTTGGTCCCCAGGGTGGTGCATATTTGGTGGTGGGAGAGCCCTCAGAGGGTGGCGACTAACGGAAGGTCCTTGGATCATGGGGCCATGACACTGAAGGAGTTTCTAGGTACCTGGTCCCCTCTTCTACCTCCCTTTTGCTTTCTGATATTAGATGGGTAGTTTTCCTTTGCCACAGACTCCTTGCCATAAAGTACTGTTTGGCTCCAGGCCCAAAGCAGAGGAGTTAACTGATTAAGGTCTGAAACTTCCAAAATTTCTAGTCAAAAAAAAACCCATAGGTTTTTTCCATAGCAGACAAAATTCTGCTACATGGTGAAATTTTTGAAACTTCCCCAGAGACAAAAGACAGTATGACACTTTTGAAGAAAAAAGATCAAACTGAACTTTGCTGCATGGATCCAGTTTAAGATCATGGATGTGATTTCTTTTCTAGGCACACCTACATTTATTACCTCGTGTTTTATTGCTACATAAGTGCTACATGTAAGATTGGCAAAAACAGGACCTGCTATTTCTATCCAAAATGACAGAATATTTCTATCCAATGAGACAGAGTATTGAGAAATTGCTAAATTTGGAGAAAAAAGTGTAGACATGAACCATTTTCCAGCTTCAGGCTGAATTGTTTTATATCTAAGTCAAATAGAATACCGCCCATGACTGATTTGCATTTAAGTTACATTACTGTAAATACTGGGATTTTTCAATTTTGAAAATAACCTTGAACATAAAAAGGTTAACAATATCTCCCAGAATATTCAGAAAGCTATTTTGAAGCTGCCCACTTGAACTAAGGTCATTGACCAGTTTGATATGACCAAACAATCCTTTTGTTAGAATTCTCTTCTTTCAAACTGACAAAATTTAAAACATTGTCCATGCAAGTTCCTAAAAAATCATCTGTCAGCAAAACCTTTCCTAAAAACCTTTCTTAAAGAGAGGCCAAAAAGAGCGTCTGATACAGTCCACTGTAACCTGAAAGAAATAGAGGAACATATCCTGTTTGGGATTCGGCTTTAGGTTAAGTCACAGGTCTTTAATGTAGTTTAAATCCTTCCGGGGTTGACCTTAGCTATTCCATCCGTTTCTTTTGCTAGCAACAGAGTAATAAATTACTTACTGAGGTAGAGCTTGTGACTGATTCCCAATTGGTTTGAGAGGCTGCTGCAGGTTGGAAGTCTTCCTAGAAGGCAAAGAAAAATCCTGTGAGCCAGTGAATCCTGTGGTCAATTCATTATGTGCAATTTTAACACCTTAGCCTTTTGAATCTTCTTCTGCCTAAGTGATAACAGAAATAGGGCTACATACTTCTTGAACAGATCGTATCGGTCCTAAGTATCTTACCTCAAGAATTTCTCATTCATGAGATGAACAATTATTTTAAGATTTTCAGTAGAAAATGCATAGAAGTTCAAATTTTAACAAGGCCGTCTAGTGGAATGTGACCTCAGACACCTCATTAACCTCTCTAGTCCTTCTCTTCTTCATCTTTGATAGGCTAGTATGGAGTGCTTAAATTATAGGGCTGTCTTTGAGAAATGGATGTATTCATTATGTTATTTTAACTTACATTTATTAAGGTACCTTATTAAGGATAACAGTTATCATTATTGATGGTTATTTGCTTCAAACTAGCTTCTGTACCATGTCTACTGAGTTAGTATACAATATTGACAATCTTTTGATATATAAACTAACTTCCAATATTTGTTCTTGACTCTAACAGGGAACCTCAGGAAAAGTGTCAGGGGAAAGATAATTGTGAGAGTGACAAAGTAGCCAAACAATTAGCATCCTCTCTAATGACAGCCCCTGGCAGATAACATCACAGTAGCCCATGTTAGAGGGAGAGATCATGTGTTGAAATGGGAATCTAGAGAGGGGAGGACCCTCACTGACTTTGTGACTCCTACTTGGCACTCCTATAGGAGGTTCTCCCATCTCTTAAGAGTACTATACTAGTAGTGACCAAGCTCCCACTACTTGAGTCCTTGAGGGTCACACTCAAACACTATCCAAACCATAACACCAAATAAGATAGAGACTTGACCAATTCTTAGACCATACAGTCTTATTCACTTATACAATCTTATTCATGTATTCATTTTTCACTTATTCATTTACTCTTTGTTAATATTTTTCTATATGATAGTGTACTTTCTATACTGAGGATGACCTACAAGGAAATAAACTATCTGGATTCTCAGGTAGTTCAAAAGCAAAGACATAAATAAACAGGTTCAATAAACTCCAGCAGGTACTCTGATATCAGCCTAATTAGAATAACACGAAGGATTGTAGGAAATTGTATTGGGTGTATAAGTAGACTGGGAAAATGTTCTATAAGAAGATAACATTGAATAAAGTTTTCTTTTACTGTTTAGACCTAAAATATCTCCCCAAAGTCTCACATGTTCAGAGATGAGGCTTTTAACATGATTGGATTATGAGGGTACTATACTATCAGTGATTCCATTGATGAATTCATAACTGTATGTGTTGTTAGAAGATGGAGCTGGTTGCAGGAGGTTGGTCACTGGGAAATGATCTGGAAGAGTGTATTTGTTTTTATTTATTAGTATATGTTTGTGATGCATCATATTTATAAATAGCTGATCAATTTTATCCCTGCAATGCTCCCCCCCTCCAAAGTGTATACTGTGCATTTCTCTCTCTTGTTTTTGAATGCCATAGGGTAGAGCAGATTTCCCCTTCCATGTCCTCTTCTCATGCCATTTCTGCCTCAGAGCCAGCTAACCCTGGGCTGAACTCACCAAAACTATAAAATCCTCCTTTAAGTTTCAAGTGTTTGGTATTTTTCCCCAACAATATATACTACTGTATCTTTAAAGGTAAATATATGACTGCTTGCAAGAATAGTGGAGTAGAGTACTTAAAAGAAGGGAGCTGTTCAGACTATATCAGAAAAAATATACAGATAAGCAAATTTCTAGGTAAAGTTGATAAGTCATGTTGGATGTAGTATGTTTGTAGAGTTTCTACCACATACAGATATAGATGCGTAGGTTTCCTTTATCAGAATGGAAATCATGAGAGAGGAACTTGAGGTATAGATTATGAGAATTACCAACACAAAAATAACTGCGGGGATCATTTGATTGGAGGTCAACCACACAGTCAGGCCCGAGCAAGGTCAGTCCTGAGAAAACGGGGCACCAGAGGTGAGCCTAGTAAACAAGTTGTTGGGACTACAGCAAAGCCCATCCAGCAGGTGTCTGGCCTTGGTGCTCCTCCCTGTTAACTGCAGCACAGAGAGCTCTGAGCATGTTTTGATTTCAGTGTTCTCAGCAAAACACCAAGACCTTGCATTTTTTATTCCATTGTGTGTATCCTCCTTTTTTTACTGTGTATAAATACTCAGACCATGCTGGGTTGTCAGTGTGTCTCCTTGTCAAAGAGGTCAGGTCCCACCCATTCCCAGCTTTCCTTTTAGTAGTGTCTAGTTCTTTCCTAGCCTCCCATCCCTTTCTCAAATGACTCTGCTGGTTGCATGGGTTGCAGCAAGAACAAACAAAGCTGATAAGCATTATGTTGATGACATGGAAAAATATTAAAAAAAAGATATATTGAAAAGTATTGGAATTGCAAGTAGGAGTAGGATTAGGATTAGGATTATCTAGTGCAGTCTCCTCATTTTAACAATTAGAAAACCAGTTCACAGAAAGATAAATGGTATGCTCTGTGTCATATATCAATCTTTTGGGAATACTAGGACAACCAGGAGAAATTATGCGGTGAACTTTCACATGATTACAGCTGTTTCTGAGAATATTTGCTTGGGGAAGAAAAGATGAAACATTGACCAAAGGAGTTATCAGACAAGCAGCAAAAGGCACAAAGCAGAATGCTGGTGAAAGCTCTCTGAGGACGTCCTTCGAAGCTCATTCATAGTTATTTCGACTGGATATCAAGACTTGATTTGGTGACTCTAGTTTATTTTCTTACATAGACACATAGCAAAAAAGTATCATTAATCTCTTCTAAGAGTAAAGGCCCTTTTCTGTGCAGACAGCTAGACACAAAGAACTTTTAGCTTCTGTAATTTCTGGCTTGTAAGATTCCAGTCAGAAACTCTGATAGAAACAAATGATAAAGTATTTCACTAAATTCCTGATACAATATAACTTTATCCTCTTTGAGTAACATAATTGGAAGACATTTTAAAGACATCAAGTTTCTTCTCTGTTACCTCAAAAATTTGCTATCATTTATGAGTGACATTTAAAATGAGCGTATAAAAGGGAATAATATCCATTGTAAAAATAAAATATTGGACTGACAAGGGTTTAGCCTTAAAGAAATCTGAACACAGGGAGAAAAATAGTGATTTTGCCTTTTATTATATCTTCAGTGTGATCATTTTTCATTTCTCCCACTATAATCTCACAAGGACAAGACATCAGCAAGTCTCCTTGTTTCTTTCTCTCAAAGTTCACATTCCACAAAACCAGTAGAATTACCACCAACACCTGCCTTGCAAGTACAAGGTCCTGAGTTTGATTTTCAGTACAAAAAAAAAATCAAATCATTTCAACCTTCTTCTTAAAACCATCCAATAGCTTTCCAGTGTGTTTATTACTTGTCAAGTCTGACTGAGTGCTGTGACCCTATCTGGACTCTGTGATTCCATCTCCCAGTATTCCTCTCTGATTTGTTGCTCTACATTTCCCACTAACTTCATTTTGGCTACACTGGCCTTCTGAGAGTCCTTCAACAAACATCCCAAGCTTTTAGGTTCAGTCAGCTGCTGTTACTTCTGCCTGGATATGCCTTCTTCAAGTATTCCAAAGGCCGGCTCCTCATCATTTTGTTGTTTGCTCAAGTTTTCTCTTGAATCCTTGGAGAACACCACTGAGTATGCAAGTTACAATACCTTTGGTCACACAATTTAACCTGTTTATGAAATTATTAATGATCATGTGAAATTGTTTTATATTTCTTTATCTCTTTTTCCAATTTGAATGGCAGAGACCTCTTTTGCTCTCTATTCCATCTCAAGTTCATAGTTGAGTTTCTGTACAAAAATTTTCCAATTTATTTGGTTTCTGGTACAGTTTCATGTGTTATAATTTCAGCTGTTAAAAGCCAGAATCTGTTCTTATTGGTCGGAACCTGTATTTGTCATATTATTTGCTATATAATGTAAATATCTTGGCTAGACTGCTTGCTTTTTCAAGGTACAGGCTAATGGAAAACAATTTCCTTTTACATCACTTGAGGTAATGCTAAAATAGGACAAATAAATAGTGAGTTATTATTTCAAATGTGTTAAAACAGTCTGTCTTAGAAAGATTACATTTTTGTGTTTTGTTAAAGTGAGTTCACACAAATCTCTTAAAATCCATGTCCTATTCTACTGAGAAAAGATAGCTACTTGTTAGTTCTAAGAATTTAGCATACATTTAGCTGTTAACTTCTTTACCTCCTGCTCCTTCCTAGGATCTTCCCTAAACAAAAGGAGTGGATAGTTTGTGTATTTTGTCTCCTCCATCTATGTAGGAAGTCTTTGGTGATATGTACTTTATTGATTGATTTTATCTAGGGAATGCAATGATCTCCCTGGAAAAATGGAAACTTAGCCAAATATATCATTCAGTTCCCCAAACTAATTATTCATAAAGTCAGGACTAGAACTCAGTTAATGAATATGCATCTTGTAGTCACATGCTCTTTCCAATTCAGCAAATATTGTGATATATCATTCAATAATTATAAGCTTTTTCGGCATTGCCTTAGACTAACACAAATTAATATACATCATTAAACAAAATAATTTATTAAGCTATTTATTAAGCCATTTATCAACATGTTAAAATAGTTTATAAGTATAATTTGGCATGTTGAAATGAAACTCATTTTCTAATTCTCTGCATTCCTTATTTGGAATAGTTTTGAAAAGATATATAATTTTAGATTTTGATTTTCAAAATAGCTTAGTATGCATAGTTTGATTTTTATGAGAAAAGTGTTACAGAGCAGAAATCTGGGGAGGTATTTAAAATAAAAAGTTTTAAATATTATGTGAAAACACAAATACATAAGGACAGTGAAGAAGAGATTTTTAAAAATTAACACTTTAGACTGAAATTAGACTAGAAAGTTAAAGCTTAATCTACTTCATCCAGTTGGTAACAAAAACAGTTCCCCTGGGAGCTGAGAAGA